TCGGGGCTCCTGGAGGGGCTTAATAAAGGTGGCCGAATTAATGGACCCGAGGGAGGTGGGGAGGCGTGAAACGTCAGCGCCCGCGCCGAGTGGCTGGGTGGCCTTGAGCGAGCCCCTTCGTGTTTCTCAGCCTCAATTTCTGCATCAGTAGAATGGGAATAATACACACAACCCTAACCACCCCGCCCCCCGCCACCCAGCTCAACGTGTTGTGAGGCTCAAGGGGGGATAAGGCACCTCACTGGAGAGCACCATGCAGGTCCGACGATTATTTTTAGGGAACGGGGGTACCGGAGATCTTGGTGCCTCTAGCTGGGGTGGGCAGCACCTCTCGGGCATCCTCGGGCAAAAGACCCAGGCTGGGAGGGAGTTTGCTGAAATCTTTAGACTGGGGCTTTTTGGGAATGGGCGGTTAATCCTCCTCTACTGTATGGAGCCCCCCGCCCTAAGGAGGGCATCCTTTCCCTGGCTGTTGTCAGTGCAGCCCCCAACGCTGTTCTCAATTCAACCTGAAGGCCAAACCAGGCTCTATTGAAGTTCACCCAAGACTGACACACAGAAAGTCTCTCCCGCTCTTCCCTCCCTGGACCTCACTCACTCTACCCCCTCCCACATCTTCCTCCCCTCAACAAGCTTACAAAGGAGAAGGAAATGGAAGGTGTGGGAAGTAAGTGAAAATATCTCCAGTTAGGAAATTCCCACTGGAAATCCTCCCTGAGGCCTAACCATGATGGTTGCTACTCTGGTGAAGCCCTGTTCCCCTTGGGTTCTTTCCGCAGTGAAGACAGCCTGCAGATGGACTGGGGGCTAGAGGACATGAGCTCAACAGTGACAGCCAGGGTAAAGGAAGCACAGAGTTCATTGACAGTTAGGCTGGCATCCCTTTAGTGTCCTGTTTTTCACGAGATATGAAAGCAGATCAAGTGCAGCACTAAGCACCCCACCCACAGTGATTTACCCCCTAGTTCTTCTCCCCGAGCCTCCTACTTCCCGTTGACTGTCCTACCACCAGCCCTGCCACCACCTGCCATATGCCCCAAAGACCACAATTCAAGTGAAGCCCACCTGATTTTGCTTCAAATTCTTCCCCCTGAGGAGCTCTCTAGGCTGCAATCTGCCCTGAGAGAGAGAAGTCCAGAGCCCTTCTCTAGGCACCCAGGGTCCCCTAGGAGGTGTGGACCATACAAAGAAAGGTCTAGAATAAGGGTTTGAGACCTTTCAACCTTTCCTTCTCTTTCCTGGGAACCATCTCCCTCAACTCCAAAGAATCCTGGGCTGCCTGGGGTGGGATGGGAGGTGGGGAGGAATGTGACATAAGGATCACAGATGGCCTGGATGTGTGACCGGATCCTGGGGAGAAACTGCCTGGATATGTGACTCCAAGGCCAGTACTCCAGAATTTAAGTTCTGGAGTTAAGTGCTCTGCAGTCAGAACACACACCCTTGGAGAGGGTGTGTGTGTGTATTGGGGAAGAAGGTGGGAGGAGAAACTGAAAAGATACGGCTTGAAGCTTAGGGGAACCCACATTTATTCTCCATGGCATCAGAGTCCAGGAGCTTCATGGCACTGGGAGATTAGGGTCTTACCCTCCCCCATCAGTGGGCTTCCTTTTCCCCCTCTGCAGCTCATATGTTCTCAGGAAGTGATCTCAAAGCATGAACTGGCTCAGAGACCCCAGGTCATGCAGAAAAGTACCCTGGTCCCATTCATCCTAGCTTTAGCCCCAGGTGGGCTTCCACAAATTCTCTGAAGGTCTTAGGTAATCTGACCCCCAGTCTGCCTGCTTAGACAGATCTCTCTGCCTGGGGATGGGGAAGGGACCCCAATGACTGATCACCCCAGAACTCTCCTATTCTCCATTGCCCCAGGGGTCTTGGCGAGCCTTATTTTGATTGTGTCCCATCTACTGTCTTTCTAAGTGGGGGGCTGCATTCTTCTCATGGAGAAGGAAAGGTGTGAAACTGTTGCCTTTATCCCAAGATCAAGGACTTTATTTTTGCATCTTTCCTCCAATAATTCCAGTTCCTTCAACCTACTCTTCCTTATTTCTTGTGCATGCTGTGACCCTTTTCCAGAAGATCCCACCACCACATTCTCCTAGACCTCTCTTCCTCCCCTTAGAGAATAAGCAAGGGGCCTTATGTTTTGGAAGAAGATCTGGTGAAAACTCCCTCCGGAACCAGCTCATCCCTAACCCCCACTTGCCTTAGAAATAGGGGCCCAAACCCCAAGTCCCCCGCAACTCAACTCACAGCGTGTGGAGAGCAGAGTAGCCGGCAGCAGAGACCCCTGGGGGGTGGCGTCCATGCCCCTGACACCGCCCCCCCCACGGGTCCCCTTGGAGGGTGGGAGCCGCAGACACTGCTGTTTCTCCTAAATGTAGCGGCAGCTCTGACTAGGACTTGCTATCTGTGTCATCCCCACTTCCCAGGCTCCCCTGCTCCTTTGTCGTTACTGTGGCAACCAGTCCGGCGACAGCTCCAGAGCATCCCCCTCCCCTCCCGGTCCTGGGTACCACTAGAGGCTGATCCACACGCCATAGCTATTTTTAGCTAATGTCCCTCCTCCTGGACAATTCAGAGCTCGCCTCCTCACCCCCTCATAGGAAAAAAAAGAAAAGAAAAGAAAAGCTGGCACGCTGGCTCTTTCCTAAGAAGCTCCTTGCTCTGGGAAAATACGAGCCCTGATGTATTTGAGAACAACATGTTTTGTTTCCTGGGGTTTCAGAGGGCCATCTGGAGGCTGGCAGCTCCCCATCTCCAACAGGGGCCTCTGAGTTCAGGTGCTGCTCTCAGGCCAGGCCCACCATCACAGTTCCCATTTTTGGAGAGGCCGCTATCCAGGAGGAGGTAGCTAGAGGGAAAAGAGATCCACTGGAGGAAGGAGGACAGGGTCAGGGATTGTAATCTTTGTCACTAATTTGTGATGTGACCCATAAGAGTCACTTCACTTCCCTCAGCCACAATTGTTCCATCTGTCCCAGAGTGTGGGCACATGCAAACATTCCTTTTCTGTCTACTCCACAGGGTGTGCAGATCAGATGAAGCAATATAAGTAGCAGGGTCCTGAAATGTGCTTTGTTAATAGCAATAAGTCTAGAAACAACCCAAATGTCCCACAGAGAGAAAAGCCTCGGTTAGGGCTTACTATTTACTCTACAAACTTTTACGGAGCCCAAGTGCCAGGCAATGTGTTAGATGGGGGTGGTTACAGAAATCAAGTTCCTGCCCAGAGGAGCTCATGATCCCATGGGGGAGAAAGACACACAAACACATAAACACATACTACTGCTGCTGCTGCTAATTCATTGAGCATCAGCTGTGAAGGAGACACACACCTCATTTAATTCCCACAACAACCCTAAGAGCTAGGTATTATTTTTCCCTCTTATGGATGAGGAAACTAAAGCTGTGAAAGGTTAAGGGATGTACCAAATATCACAGAGTTGGACAGAGGCAGGAGTCAAACTCACATATCTGTGTCAGCCCCCATGCTTTTTCTTTAAACACAATTTTTTAAGAGCAGTTTTAGGTTCACAGCAAAATTGAGAGGAAGGTTCTAGAGATTTCCCATATACCTCCTTCCCCCCCACATGCACAGTGTCCCCCACTATCAACATGTACCAGAGCGGTACGTTTGTTACAACTGATGAGCCTGTATTGGTGCATCAGTGATCATCCAAAGTCCACATTAGGGTTCATTCTTGGTGTTGTACACTCTATGGGTTTGGACAAATGTACAATGCCATGTATTGTTACAACTGATGAGCCTGTATTGGTGCATCAGTGATCATCCAAAGTCCACATTAGGGTTCACTCTTGGTGTTGTACACTCTATGGGTTTGGACAAATGTACAATGCCATGTATCCCCCATTATAGAATCATGCAAAGTAGTTTTACCGCCCTAAAAATTCTCTGTGCTCCACCTGTTCATCCCTCTCCGCAACCGCTGGCAACTACTGTTCTTTTTACCGTCTCCATAGTTTTGCCTTTTGCAGAGTGTCTCATAGTTGGAATCATACAGCATATAGCCATTTCAGATTGGCTTCTTTCACTTATTAATGTGCATTTAAGGTTCCTCTGTGTCTTTTTGTAGCTTGATAGCTCATGTCTTTTTAGTGCTAATAATATTCCATTGTCTGGATGTACCATAGTTTATTTATTCATTCACCCATTGAAGGACATTTTAGTTGCTTCCAAGTTTAGGCAACTATGAATAAAGCTGCAGTAAACATCCATGTATAGATGTTTGTGTGGACACAAGTTTTAAGCTCCTTTGGGTAGATACCAAAGAGCATGATTGCTGGATTGTACCGTAAGAGTGTGTTTAGTTTAGTATATAAGTAACTGCCAAACTGTCTTCCAATGTGGCTGTACCATTTTGCATTCTCACCAGCAACGAATTCCTGTTTTTGTTGCCCCACATCCAGCAGCACTTGGTACTGTCACCTGCATGCTCTTTTCACAAATTAAATCAGTATAATAGGTTACTGTAAAGCCATTATAATGACTATGTTTATATGCGCAAATGTGTATATAGACACACTGTTACATAAAAAAGCAGAACATAGAAATATTCTTATAA